GAGAGCCTCCGTCTGCCTCATCTGCCTTGCTTTTTTTCCCCACCGTCCCTCTTAGATTTGAGTTGGGACTGAAAAACAGTGACGGAAAAAACACAACAACACAGGCTAAAGCACACACAGGTGGAGTCACGAAGCAATCCTGTCACCTGTTGATGCACGCAGAGGAAACTATGCAGAAGGGCAAGAGGCTCAAGGATGAAATGTAACTTCTTTTAACACCATCAATTTTCTATTTGCATCTTTTCCATCTGACCATTCAATCTTTGCTTTTACTTATTAGTCTCCATTACAGAGTGTAGCTGAATCTCATCCCAGCATGCACAAAATACATTTTGCCTCCTTTCATACGTATTGATGGTGCTCGGGGGGACTAGGGTTAGGTTTAGAGTGGCGTATCTGCCTTTTGAAACTGTTTTTGTTTACAGATCAAATACAAATGCTAACTTATCCATTCTTAAACAGCCTCTGTTTGGGGAAATAGTAATATTGTCCTGTAGGATGGATGAGTTGATACCAAACACTATAAAGAAGGGTTCATTTGACAAGCAAAAAATATATAAATAAATAAATCAAACTCATCAAAATGAACCCAATTACAAAGAGGGTAGCTGACACTAACTGCCATGAAATATTCTTCATCAGAGCAGTCATTAGGAAGACAGCAATATATTTTTGCTTTGGGCTGTGCTAAGATGAGCCATTAGGTCAGTGGTACTCACTCCTGACCCTGGAGAGCTGCTATCCAGCATGTTTGAGTTTTAGCCCTGCTTCAACACACCTGATTTCAATCATTAGGTGGTTAACAGGCTTGTGAAGAGCCTGACGAGCTACTGCACAGGTGATTCAACCACTGAATTCAGTGTGTTGGAGCGGAGAAACAACGAATACATGCTGGCCCTCCAGGACAAGGACCAAATTATTTATCTGAAAAGAGGCTGCCAAAATGCTATGAACAGCCAATAAGATGGTAAATATTCAAGCCTTTTACATAGAAACACACTTGAAAATAACCCTAAATATCCGTTTGACTGTACTGAAGTCAGGCAGCAGGGCCGCACCCAAATCCTTCTAATTTAATGACAAATGTTTCTAAATCTACTTTTCCCCAAATAGATCAACTTTCCTCCATCCATCCTCTAGTCCATGCTCCTTCCATCCCTCTTCACATTTCTTCATTCACCCTCTTCTTTCACTCTGAAAGCATCTGGGCTCCACAGTTGGTTAGAGTCAATAATTACTTCAGATCAAACCCACACTTGGAGTTTCTATCTTCCAGGCTACCGATTGCAAGCTGGTGTTCGTCATACTAACGAACTTGAAACTCTTTATTGCTTTCAACTATAAAAATAAACTAAAAAGATGATGCCCAGAATACGAAAGTTTCAAAAGCAACAGTTTTATTGTTTTTATAACCATGAAACATTGGACGAAACATGTAACTTCTCATAAGGAGCAGGGGTCTCATTTATCAAACATTGCATAGAATACTTACTAAACCCGTACTTAAGCTCAACAAAAAAAATGTACTTACGCCAAGTAGGTTTGTGATCTATCAAACATGGAGTAAGCACAGCTGCACGCAATCTCCGATTCATAATCTAACTCTAATTTTCCTCTGGGATTAATAAAGTATCTTTGAATTTGAATTTGAATAAATCAGAGACTAATGAGAAAGGTTCTCAGCTGCTTTTTAGTCACATCCCGCCCTCACCACACCCACTTACTGCCATAAATGGTCAGTGCAACGTGCCTTGTGGATCTCATGCATATACATAAGCCGGCTCGTTGAAGCGCTCCACCATTAACCGCAGATCAAGGAAGCGCTATTTCACAAGCAGAAATTCAGGTACCTGTGGGTGAGGTGGAGAAATGAAAGGAAGTGCTTTTGCAAAACAAATAAGAGATAAAAATCCACGGAGTGGCGCAGCGTTGCTGAAGCCGTCAATGTTGTGAATTCTTCAGAGATCTGTGGCAGATATTAAAAAATGGTTCGATCCCCAGACTCCCAGGTGAAAGTCACGCACACTAACCAGTCGGCCAAATGGATAATAATTCATAATTCAGATCTTTTGAAGTGGCTTTAGATAGTTTTATGAAAGATCTTTGTTTGGAGAAACAAGGATTAGCTTGGATCAAAAACACTAAATTACTGGAGCTAGTTACAAAGTGTCCTGAATCATTGACAACAGTTAATATGATTGCTCGAATAACTCGTTTGAAATACATTTTAGTGCAATAGTAAATATTAGCTCCTGCCAAATTCTAATGCAAAACATTTGCATAAACTGCTCAGATTTTTTTTCTTACAGTTGCAGCAGAAACACTTGACCCTGTCAATGTGATCAGACAACACATTCTCACACCCTAAGCGTCGGAAACAAACGCTTGGTCAGCCACCCTCCACGTCAGACCCCAGACGCCAAAAGTGTCCTTTTTCGTTACTTATGTGCAAAAAGGGGGTTTCCCTTTTCTGACTGCCGATCCCAATGCAGCGTAAAACTGACGTGATGAGATATCCGCTGATGCGGCACCGAACCACCTCTTTTAACCGCACCTAAACCTTAACGTTTCGCTATTTATAACCTTCCCCTCTCCCTCATCCTAACCTCAACCCTCTTGCTACCTAAACGTTACTCTCACTGTGATCAAGCGTTTGTTTCCCATGCATTCTGACTGTGAATTTTCGTATTTGCCGCCCAAGGGGAACGTTAGAACGTACCATCTGGCGAGGGGGAGGTTACACATAGCCTCTACTTTTAACCTCCACCGTGGTAGTTGACACCTCCCCCTCACATTGCCTCAGTCCAAACTCGACCAATGACGAGGCGGCTCCCGCCGTTCACTTCATAGAGCCGGCTTTTAGAGCGATCGACACATCACTAACGTGTTCGCTGGCAAGATGGTTAAGGTTAGGTTAGGGGTGAGGGGAAGGTTAAATAAGAGGATAAGGTTAAGGTGAGGTACAATGAGCTTGTTTGGTGCCCTGGCTGCGGACATCCCATCGCGTCAGTGTAACGCTGCATTGGGATCTGGAGTCAAATAAGGGGAAAACCCCTTTTTGCACATAAGTAACGAAAAAGGACACTTTTGGCGTCTGGGGTCTGACGTGGAGGGTGGCTGACCAAGCGTTTGTTTTTGACGCGCTGGGAGAGAGAATGTGTTGGATCAGAACTGATCTGAGTTTCGTCAAATTAAGAAGGGGCATAGAGCTATCTGTAACGAATGAAGTACTGATAGTTTATAACATTTTCTAATTTCCAAAGATTTGAACCCCCTTGTTAGGTTCAGTGCCAGTTTAAATGTGACAAGAACTAAAATGGCTGTGATGGTTGAATGGAACATCCAAAAGATGGGGAGGATTTACTAACATCCTTAACAAAATTGTGTTTTTTATTCCATATATGACTCTACTAACTATTGTAGCATCCCTGTGCTAAAGCAGCATTTTTATCATTGTGTCCATGTTTACACTTTACTGACTCCAGGGGAAAAGCGTATTCACTTGTTGCCCCCTCCGAAGAAGATTTAAATAAGATCTTGGAGGCCTGTGGGTATTTACAGACCTCTGCCTGCTGACTGAGTCTCACATCTTAAAGCTGACAAGGACAAAAAGGGAGAAGAGAGGAGATAAGAGAGGAGGAGTACTTTTGGATAATATGACAAAAACTAACAAAAGAAATAAATTGATGACCGGTTTGGTCCTAATGGTGGAAGATTATCAGGTGATGGCTGGAGACTGATGCTGAGGATTGGTAAACATTCCATACTTTATTATATGAGTAGTATTCTGTCCAGTCAGTGTTTCCTGTGGGACCTTTCAGAGCTGGCTCTGTTCCCAACAGCCCGCTGCGCTGATCCACTATCCCTGCATTGCTCGGCCATTTGAGTAATGTCTGCATCAATCACAATGAGATGCAGAAACTGTTTTCTACTTCTTGTGGCGCAACTTTGGAGGTAAAAAAGAATCCCCACACATCTCAGCTGGACGCCCACCAGCTCACTCTCCACGTTGCATCAGTTTCTGAGGCAGTCATCTGGGTGTGTGTTTGGCCCCTGTGGGCGACGGACGGAGTCCCTGGGTGAGGCGCGTTCCCAGAAGCCGCTGGAAGGTTGCTGGCCTTCGGTGGAGCATGATCCTCATCAGTCAGTGAGGTGACAAGGATTAAAGCGTGGCACGCAGAGCTTTGTGCGTCAGTACGCATCTGAGAAGCGATAAATCAAATAAGTACCAGAAAGCCTGGTGTAAGGGCGTCATTTCAGGACCCCACCCCCCCCCCCCCCAACACACACACACACACAAGCGCGCGGTTTCTATCTATTGCATGACAAAAACACCAGCCTCCATGCTCGATCGTTCTCCTCTGAATACCACTTTGATGTGGAAATTCAAATCCAGGCACTCGTGAGCGAGCGCGTGCAACATACGCACGCGTCTTTTGACAGACATCACTGCTACACCCTCATCTCTTCTCGCGTGCGCAGGGACCGTGTTGTTGGTAGCATGGAATAGTCGCGCGCGCACAGATGCAAAGATAGCCGCGCTGCGCACGCATTTAAGCAGCAGCTGCCTCTTTTGTGTTTGGCACCAGGCAACTCCAGAACCACCTCCCTCCTGCTCCGAGCGGGATCACGGTCGCATCCAAAAGGATCAAGCAATCTCTCCAACATCATGCTCAACAGCTATCCAGAACAAAAACACATCTGGGACCGGAGCGCACAACTGTCGCAACAATTATCTCCAATTCTAAATCTCCTCCAACACTCCCTGTAAGGTTTTTCAATTTCACCTCCGGATATCTGTCTCACAGCACAGACGGCACCCTGCCCAGCAACCATTCGGGTCAGAAAACTATTTGAGTGCGTTCCTAAATCACCAGAGTCTAAAACAGATAGATCCGGTGACCAGAGCCTTTCAACGTGGCAGCGCGTGCTTCTGGTGCGCACCCCCAGCGCAGAAACCCTCCAGGCAACACTTGAAGCCAATCCATCACTTGTCTTACCGTGATCAGAGTCCCGTTACGTTAAGGAGGAAGAAGAGGCAGCTCGCAGCTTTACGGTCCGTTCTGCAGCAGCAAAGACGGAGAAAGCGTGAGTGGATCCCCTGGACGTGCGTTCCAGCGGAGAGAGAGAGAAAGAGAGAAAAAGAGGGGAGGAGGGGACGTGCAGGCAAGAAGGAGAGATGGGGTAGGAGAGGGGAGGGGGGTGTCAGTCCAACAGAGGGATGATGCTGAAGCGGAGCACCAGCTGCTCCAGATGAGTGGCAAAAGCTGCAGGACACACTGAGAGGGAAATTAAAAAGCCGCGGCGCGTTTTCAGGTTTTTTAATGTCAGCGCTAAAGTATGAAGCGCATCGTGGAAATGCCAGAAGAAGCCGAGTTTAAATACCACAGGAGTATTCCCTCTGGGACTTTACGCATCTGTGATTCTCACTTTTTTATTACCCGGGAAGCTTCTAAGCACCGGCGCCACGGAGAAAGGGGATTGAGTCTTATTTAAATTTGACATTAATTAAAAATAAACCAAACATGTAAATAGACCAAATAATTGATGAAGGCGGCGTGAATTTGAGAAAACGACTACAGATGTGTTTGCAGCATCACCGGCGCGCGCGCGCGCGCGTGTGTGTGTGTGTGGGGGGGGGGGGGGGGGGGGGGGGGCACGACACCTCCCGGTCTATGTCACCCCATCGTGATTAATGCAACCTTCTGCCTCCCTGTACTGATGCGGAGCTGCTTTCCAATCTGGCCACGTAGCAACGCGCCTTGAAAGTACGCGCGCCTGTGTGTGAGAAGGGTCCACCACACAGGCAGAGAGGGAGGGAGAGAGAGAGAGAGAGAGAGAGAGGAAGTAGGGAGAGCAGCTGACGTCATGGCCGGTCAGCTGGGGAGATACTGATTTGCTCCAGAGTAAAATATGGGTGTGTGTACTTTTAGGCCTGATTGTGGACAATAACAGGCACTGGAAGAGCAGGAGCCAGGGATGTCAGGACTGTGTTACACCCAAACCTGCCCGGCTGTCTCCAGTCCGGTGAAGAAGCATGCTCCTGGGATTTAACAGGCACATCTTAGTCCGTGGATGTGGAAAAGATACATGAAGGAATTTCATGTCATGCCCATATATGTTCAATATGGAACATAAATGGGCATGCTGTATGGGTCCCACTAGGGTTTGTCCACAGTTTCCATGGTGGCCCCATAAGGGTTTGCCCACAAAGATTCTATAACCTCTGAAAAACCCATGTATGGCCCGTTAAAATATATGTGGACAAAGATCTTTCTTGGCAAACCCCTGTGGGTCCCATGGAAAACACGGACAAACCCTGATGGGACCCTTACTGCTTAACCATATTTTTTCCATATGTGTGCTGGCTGCGATCATCACTTTTATATGTTCAAGTGCATGGTGTGGAGTAAAACACAATATTCATGAGCGTTTTACATTGCAAATAGGTCCGGTTTGACCCAAACACAACAGGAAGGTAAAGAAAGGCAAACCAATAATTGTTACTGAAATAACATGAAACTGACATAAATTAATAAAAATCCTAATTATTCAGTATTGAAAATCGACGTTGATTGTTGATTTGTGATTAAATTGAATATTTGTTTAACTATACTAATGAAATACATAAATGATGGATGCCTCCCTGGTGATGTGTTCTTGTCCAGCTAAGAGACCAAGAGGAAGACCCACATGCTGGTTAACCAGGGAAAACCTTAGGATTCCCCCAGAAACAAAACTAAATGGATAGATGATGTGTATTTTCGAGTAACTATGTATTCACATGATAGGTCCTTGTTTGACAACATCATAGCAACGCTTTGATAAAAATTCTATTTAATGCCCCATCAAAAGGAAGTGGTTGCTTTAATTCCTGAGAGGGTGGAGCATACCCAAATGTGTTGCTTCTATTGGCAACAAAACCCTGCCACCTGTCACGATGGTCGACTGGGTACAGGAGTTGAGCTTCAAACATGATGTCTGGATTATCTGGTAGAGAACTCTGATCATGGGTTTCAATGAAACGATGACTGAGTGAAGAGCCGGTGCGGCGTCTTCCATATAGGCTTGGGTGTGACTGGGAGGATGCCGGTGTCGGTACAAGATCTGCTCGGGTGCAAGATCGGCTTGGGGTCCTTCGACTGCCAATGACGTCAGAGTACGGCAAACCCACTCGGACAAAATACACCACACATCTATACTGTTGGAAAGAATTGAGCAGTTTCGTTATTAAAATAATGTTTCTTAAGACGTAAATTTGTGTTTATAATGGTATTTGTAAAATAAAACACTATTTTATTCATCATGTTGAACTCCTCTTTGAGCACATCCCTTGAAGAATCATAGGTATTAGCAACACCTGTGAAATTGTATTTGCAGGAAAGAAGTGTGTCCCGTTTATTGAAGTATTTTGTGTTTAGAGTTTTTGACGTCTTGTCCATGCGTAGTTCAGTTACGCTCATAGCTGCTAGCCAAAACTCTGGAGTTAAAGGTTTTCTGGCTTTACTAAAATACCTGTCTGTACTTATTTGATTGATGGTAGTTTTACTTTCTATTAGACTCCAAATTTAATCATTTGGCACGTTTCTAATTCATAATTTGTAATAATGTAATCGGTGATATTAGCATTTCTATGGGTTTTTCCATGTATATTAGCATTGCGCTAACCACTCGCTGCCAAATTGCAGCCTTTGAGATTAGAAAATCTCCTTTTGTCACATCGCAATTTAATTGCACATGCAGTTAATCGTTCAGCCCTAATATACATGCAGCTCTATGCTAAAAGTGTATTTTCAAAGAGGTAATGATGGATTTCTTTGTAAAAGTTGTCCATCTTTCCAACAGAAAGATTTGCCTGGACCAACGTAACGTGATTATGTATTTCCGTAAGGTTCATGTTCAGCCAATCAACTACTTAGACGTCATCAGCAGTCGACGGACCCCGAGCCAATTTTACACCCGAGCAGATCCTGTACCGACACCGGGAGTTCCCGCGAGGAGCATGCTCGGAAATGTGGTCCAAGATGGAGGCCGGTTAGCTGGGAGAGGCCGGTCCGGGGGCTTGGGTTCTGACAGGACCCCCAGGTCCAGGGATGGCTCCAGAAGTCCCAGGGTGACCACGGCGGTCCCAGAAGTCAGAGATAAGGGCAGGGTCCAAGATGGAGCGGGCCGGCTCCCAGGAGAGTTCCTCGGGGCCATAGTCCGCCCAACAGACCAGATACTGCCAGCCCCGTCCCCTGCGGCGAACGTCCAGGATGCGCCGGACGGTGTAGATGGGCTCTCCGTCGAGGAAGCGGGCAGGCGGAGGCGCCGGAGCCGGAGGCGGAAGGAGGGAGGATTCCACGTAGGGCTTGAGCCGGGAGATGTGGAAGGTGGGATGGATGCGGAGACTCGCAGGCAGCCGCAGCCGGTACGTGACCGGGTTGATGACCCTTTGCATGGGATAAGGCTCAAGGAACCAGGGTGCGAGCTTCCTGGACCTGGCACGGACACGGAGGTCCGCCTTGGACACCCAGACCTTATCCCCTGGAGCATAGGAGGGACCAGGACGGTGTTGGCGGAGATGTTGGTGAGAGTAACGGGCATTAGCTCGGGTTATGGAGGCGCACGCCTTGATCCAGGCATTCCTGCAGTGCCTCACCAGGGATTGAGCGGCCAGCACCGCAACTTCAGGTTCCTGGTGGGCAAAGACCGGGGGCTGGTAGCCATAGCAGACTTCGAACGGGGACATCAGAGTGGCCGAGGAGGTGTGGAGATTGTGGGATAACTCAGCCCAGAGGAGGTACTTAGGCCACTGCGAGGGTTGGGCCGAGACAAAGCAGCGGAGGTACCGACCCAGTTATTGGTTTGCCCGCTCCGTTTGGCCGTTGGTCTGCGGGTGAAAGCCCGAAGATAGGCTGACTGATGCTCCTAACAGATGACAAAAAGTCCTCCAGAACCGGGCCGTGAACTGGGGAGCACGGTCCGAGACCACGTCGCTAGGAAACCCATGGAGACGCACCACATTCTCCAGGAACAACTCAGCTGTGCGTCGGGCCGAGGGGAGGCCCGGAATGGCGATGAAGTGAACAGCCTTAGAAAACTGGTCAGTGACCGTCATGATGGTATTAAGGTCGTTGACCGGTGGGAGTCCTGTGAAGAAGTCCAACCCCACATGGGACCAGGGGCGGCTGGGTACCGGAAGAGGTCTGAGGGTACCAACCGAGGCCTGGTTGGATGTCTTGGAGCGGGCGCAGACGTCACAGGTGCTCGTATAGTCCTTTACATCCCTCTCCATACGTGGCCACCAGAGAGCTCGTTTGAGGAACCTAAGAGTTCGTGAGAAGCCCGCGTGGCCAGACAGGCAAGATGAGTGGACCCAGGACAATGCCTCGCTGCGACAGGCCGTGGGGACGTAGAGCCAACCCGCGGGGGTCTCTGGAGGTGCGGGATCGTCTCAGAGGGCGTTTTGGATAGACTCCTCCAGTAGCCACCTCAGGTGGGCCAAGAAACGGTGCTTGGGGAGGATAGGTGCCGGCTCGGACGTGGGCGTTGGATGTGTGAACTGGCGGGAAAGGGCATCCGCCTTCTGGTTCTTTGTCCCTGGGTGGTAGGCGAGATGGAACTCATAGGGCTCGAAGAAGAGGGCCCAGTGGGCCTGGCGAGGATTGAGCTGCTTGGCTGATCTGATGTGAGTCAGGTTCTGGTGGTCCGTCCAGATGGTGAACGGCTGAGTGGTGCCCAGAAGCCACTGCCTCCATTCCTCCAATGCCCATTTTATGGCCAGCAGCTCGCGATCCCCTACGCCGTACTTCTGCTGGGTGGTGGAAAACTTCCTGGAGAAGTAGGCGCAGGGATGAAGCCTGTCGTCGGGCCCGGCTTGGGACAAGATGGCACCGGCGCCGACATCCGAGGCGTCGACCTCGACCACAAAGGGGTCTGCATGATCCGGATGGCGGAGGATAGGAGCCGACGTGAAACAGGTGACTAGGTATTGGAAGGCCCGAACGGCGTCTGGAGTCAGCCGGAATGGTTGGCCGGGAGGGCTTGGTCGGGTTAGAGAAGTGAGAGGTGCCAAATTGGTGCTAAAGTCATTAATAAAACGGCGGTAAAAGTCGCAGAAACCCAGAAAACTCTGCAGTTGTTTCAGGCTTGTTGGGAGGGGCAAGTCTCTTACCGCCTGGACTTTCTGAGGGTCCATGGTTAGTCCTTTATCCGAAATCATGTAGCCCAGGAAAGATGCGGACCGCTGGTGGAAGGAGCACTTCTCGGGCTTACAGAACAGGTTATTGTCCAGGAGCCGGGTTAGAACCGCGCAAACATGGTGGAGGTGTTCGGCCTCGGACTTGGAGTAGATCAGGATGTCATCC